ATTCAGTTTTGTTGCTATTTTTTCTGAACTTACTCGAGAAACGAAGATCAGCTTTGAAAAAAAAAAGAACTGTTCAGGTGCTGAAGGCAATAGCAATGGAGGTGCCGAACAGTTTAAAAACTACTTGGAATACACAGCGAGAGGAAGAAGAGAAAGAACTTACAACGCACAAGCACATCACACTGAGCATGAACGAGCGTATGATGATGGATGATGAAGAACTGCTGCTGCATTAGGTCGAGCCATTAATCTTGCTGGCGCTAAAAAACAGCTGGAATCAAGAGCTGCAGCGAGCCGGATTAGACTAATCGACCAGGAAGGGATGAGCTTTGTTCAATGTTGCGGCAAATAAGTGACGTTGAGATTGCTTTTCAGTCATATTTGGATTGTTGCATTTGTCGCATCTCAAGGTTCACTTGCAATACGTTTTTGATTAGTGATTGCTTGCCGTTTGTTTGTATATTTACTGTTGAATTTCACCGGCATTTCAACTGATCAGTTTGGTTTCTCAGGCACTGAGTATTGTTATCCACTATATGATAGTGCTTTTGCGAAGTTGCTGTTGGATAACGGCACAGGATAAATGTTATGTGGAACCCGTGGCAGCACTACCAGTCAAGTGACACTGTTACAAATATGCAGAAGAAGTGAACATAAAATGGTAATGAGGTAAGGCAGCGTAGTGAAGTAGGCCGCAGTGGCAATGTTGCACTTGTCGAAAGTGCACACGCAAACACGCTGAAGCGCACGCCGTTCGTGCACCATACCTAGTTGAACGTTACGTGTCAGGGTGCGAACATTTTCGCATGCGATATGCTGGAAGTGTTCATGTCGGTCACATCCGGCGCCAATCCAGTAGTGTGCCCCATTAATATGCATTGTTATCGTCACGCACACATCCTGATCGCGGTCGCACCGGATTGGCTCCATCTGGCAGCTCGGATGCAGCAGCTGCGCAGTAACGCGGAATTTGTCGAGCTGAGTAACATCCTGGCGTGTAGCAGTCCGACTTGCACATGTCATACAGGTCAAGGCCCAGCAGTTGCGGATCAGGTGTAGTAAAATAAGTATGGTGGCAAATGAATTTGTCCAGTTTGGGCCTACACTTGCGGCTGGGGCCAAATGCAGATGCGGTGATTGCTCAGAAGTAACAGCATGACACATCGCTGTTCGGGCAGTTGAAACTGCCATTGATTGCACATACCATGATCAAATTTTGATGTAAATGGGATGGGTGTCTATTTGCTTCCACCCTTCTTCGGAGCCACCGAGGGTGGAGCCTAGTCTTGCTTCTTCAGCAAATCCGAAATCCAGGATTCGTGCCTGCCTGCCTCTGTGCGTCTTTCTGTTTCTCTCTGTGTGCTAACGACATTTTGAATACAACTTGGTATTGAGCTAGAACGCTTCTAAATAACGGTTCCTTTTCTTACAAGCGTGGTCAGTGCGAAGTACATCCGTAGCCATCGTTTCTGTTTCTTACAGGGGATGATGATGAGGAGGAGGAGGCAGTGGATATGGATGTGGCAATGGACATGTGTCCACACATCAGCAGCCTCGTCTGCACGGACTGCTGCTGCAGCTACTACTGCTGCTGTTAGCTTTGCCGCTGATACGAGGATTAACGAACACATGCAGATATGCAACAATTTACTATTCATTGTTATGCATTAAGAAATACGTCTCGGAAAAGTTTCCTTAGCTACCTCCCCTTTATGAAGTAGCATTTGCCACGTCTGTTAGCTGGAAGTAAGCTCTCCTTCCTTCTGCAACACACTCATTTCCAAACCACTCATATTTTGGAGACCAATGGAGATCCCTGTGCACCTAGATACAATATTTGCTACCAAAATCGTCAGACTTGATTCCATGACAGTCAAACATTTACAGTGCGTTTGCCAATTTTTTTTTTTTCATTCGCACTGCATAATTAAGTAGTCGCTGTGGGCATTTTCGTAGGTTCTTATCCTAGTTCGCCATGGAGAAATTTATTACCGAAAAAAGAAAGACCAGGAGTTTTTTTAGGAAGAGAAGGCGGAGCAGGAGGTTTACCGTCATGAATTTGGAGATCTGAAATTTGCTTTAACGAATGCCTCTTTTTTGTGTTTGATGTATTACTGAGCAGCAGTAATTGGTGTTCAAGTTGATTTGTGGAGGGTGCTGCCAATACAATTTAAAAGCCTTTTGATTACTCTTTGGGAACTGTGGCAAAATTTTCCTCATTGTTGAGGTTGATTTGAGAGGCAAACTGGGCAAAGAGGTGCGCAAAAGTTTTCAATAGAAAGGGGTGGGAATTTAATTTTGTTCAGTCGGCAAACAAAATTAGTTTGATAAAACATTTTTGCTGCTAGCAATGTGTGCCTGCTTGGTGCCGTCTGATCAAGCATTTTCATTTGCAGCCCAACGTTGACAATCAAATTGAGGAAAATGTACGCATGAGGAAGAGGGTGTATTGTTATTAAAGTGCTTAGACTGCAGCCAGCGCTGCGTTCTGAGTATGAACAATTTGCCTATCTCTCCTCTTCCAGAACTACCGTGAGTCGGCCCACGTGTTGCCGATGAGCCAGTGTGCACTTTTTTTTGCATACTGCTCCAACTGTAATTACAGATGATCTACGACTGACAATTGTCGAAACACTGCGCATTACAGTGACGCACGAGTAATATTAAAAATCATAGCACTGCAAAAGACAACACCGGATGCCTAATGCACAGATGGGCAACTGGCGGCACGTTTTCCAGATCCGACCCGCGGTGCTTAACTGGGCGAACGGAGAGGGTTGTACTACACTATGCCACTGCACTCTCATGGAAAAATAGCGGCACGCATCAGGACAGGCGGTACCATCATGCGTTTTGCGCAGTTCCAGCGAATGTTTGCCTGTTAAGGATTTTCAGTGCTTTGAATTTTGTTCTGTGCAAAAATACTTGAAATATTATTTGGTCCCTAAGTTACGGGATTTATCACTAAAAATTTCACGCACTGGCGCGTAAAAGATGAATTTTAAGCCTCGAAAGGTGAATATCCTTCCAAAATTTCAATTTCCTAAATTTGTGGCTTTCGACTTATTTTCGCTCCAAAACTTTTACATGGTCACACATGAGACCCCGGCATAATTTGGAACTAAATTTGAGTTTGTGAGACCCCTGCATAGGCAATGAACATTCGCCTGGAATTTTCAGTCTCCTAGCTTTTATGGTCCCAGAGATTTTCAGTCTCCTAGCTTTTTCCGCCAAAATTTCCGCTGGAGCGTATATGATATCCGAGTGGGCGGGAGGGCTGAATTTATATTTTCGAGGTTTCACTTGGACAGGAGTCATTATGGTAAAAGTTCAGCTCCCTAGCTTCCATAGTTCCTGAAATAATAATTTTCCCTGCCAGAACTTTCACGGGGTCATACGCATTACTCAGGAGACAGGGGAAGGCTGAAACTAAATTTGGGTGGGAATATCCCCCAAATTTTTAGCTTCCAGCTTTTGCGGTTCCCCAGTTAAAAGTTACTGACAAGATGCGTCAGACATATACACACAAACGCACATCAGGCCCGT